AACCTGAAATACAAACACTCAGCGATCCTGCAGTTTTCCACTTTCCAAACAAACGCAAGTCACTGGAGGTGAAAACACGGGCAGTGCCGCTGCACATGGGCCCTATCTTAAGTCTCTAAAAACTGTGAAAAATATTCAGTTATTTTCATCTTTAATTGGTCTTGTCTGCTTCAAACATAGTGGACTAAAGCAGTTAATACATCATTATATAATGTATATTATCCATACATGTATAGTACCTCTGCTAAGGAGGTAATGTATTCATTGTTTGTGTTTCAGCAGGATAAGGCAAAAACTACAGAACTGATTGTCCTGAAACTCGGTGGAAGGGTACGGGCCAAGAAAAACCATTTAAACTTTGGATCCAGGATTTCTTTTTTCACTTTTAGTTTATCATATTTATTCTTCAACATTGTGAGATAGGGTGCTATTTGTCATTTTCATCGTTCTTACAGGGAATAATCTAGGATCTTGATTAACAGAATCAAGTACATTTAGAAAACTGATATCTATGAGTATATGAAATTTGGAGCAGATTTTGATTGAATTGAGGGGGAGTGTTGGACCTTGGTGGAGGTATGTGCTCTACTGAGTGCCATTTTTGTGTTGACGGGTCGATGATGTTTTGGCAGCTTTCAGGTGTTTCGAGATGCCAACTTGTTATAATTTCTTGGATGTGTGATTTGTTAAGCATTTACTTTTTAATGTGATATATGTCACTTTTTATACTGATAGGTGCCAAGAGGAAAGAGAAATGACAACCGAGTATAATTCATAGTGCATTTGTGTGTGCACGTTCACCAGTTTCTGTGTTTTCTTCTCAGAAATCTAAATGTAAATGGGGGAAATGGGGGAAATGGTGCTGGACATTAATAGCTTAAGTGTTGGAAATGCCTGCCCTGATATCATAAATACTTTAAAATAAAAAGTTTACACAATATGTATGAGAGGATTGGAAAGTAAAATGTCATCACCACCTTTTACTAGAAATACATTGCATAATGGTTACACCATTCATAATTTTAAATTATCTCAACAATCTACTTATCTAAACAGGTGACAGATGATGAACATATGTAAAATGAAGTAAAGAAGCCAAAATTTCAGAAGAAAATCCTAAGTAATATAAAAACAACATAATAAATAATATATGACAATAATTACAAATGAAGGAAAAATACACATTAATTAAACAAAGCAATAGATCAGTGGTTATTAAATTCACATAAACTCATCATTCTGTCACTGAGTATGGATACTCAGGATTTTGCATTTTGAGAAAGATTAATTTACAGAGTTGAATCACATTCAGGAGACCACATACCTCCACCAAGGCCCAACAGACACCTTATAAACCAAATTTAAATTCACTAGATGCAGAATGAAATGGATCTGTACCAAATTGCACACACTCATAAATATCAGTCCCTGAAGCATTATTCTCTGAAATATCGGGGAAAATGTAGAAAAACTCCATATCTCGCAATGTTAAAGTGCTGCCCTCTGATGTTGTTCAGCACGAACATTTCATGGGTTCTTCTTTGACTGCATTCTTCCAGCAAGTTTCATAGAAATCCTTCCAGTAGCATTTGTGCAATCTTGCTTACAGACAAACAAACGAGGGTGAAAACATTTCCTCCTTGGTAGAGACACGACAAGGACAACATCCACAACAACTTTTCCAAAAATAAATTGAGTCTACAGTAAAATCTCTCTGCCTCACAGGAACAAAGACTGACTACTTGTCATTTCTGCATAAAGCATTCTGACCACACAAAGCAGAAGTTGAAGAAGCTGAGAGGAGTGAAGAAGGACAGACTAAAAGAGAAAGCAAGTATGGCCACTTTGATTGATTTCAGCTGTAATCTGCTCACTAACTCATCTCCTGACATCTCTCTCGCTCTCTGTCTCCGTCTCTAACAGACTCTCCAACCATTAAAGCCCGGCCGGGTCCTGGCTGAGCAGCTGCGAAAAGACAAACCATTTATCAGCCTGTCAGCTCTTGCTGCCTGTTATTCCAGCCAGTCAGACTGTACGGCTGTCGAGACACAATAACTCTGACTGAGGAGAGCTGGCACACACACACACACACACAAACACACACGCTTTCAGTACACACACATTCACACACATGCGTGACTCTCTATAGTTGTGAGGACACTCACAATGTATTTCCTAGCTCCTTACCCTGACCTTAACCATCACAACTAATGCCTAAACCTGACCCTAACCTAATTCTAACCCTCACCCAAGTCTTAACCCTCAAAAAGCCAATTTAGTTTGTGAGGACCAGCTAAAATGTCCTTACAACTTATATGTCCTCACAATGATGGTATTGAACCAAAATTGGCCCTCATAACTATAGATACACATGCGCACACACACGTTTCCTCAGCACACACACATAAATCCAGGGTTTAATAAACAATAGGTCAATGGTAACAAAGGACACATGATTTAAACTGATAAGAAAACAGATAATAAAAGTTCTATTTATGTTTGTGAATTGACAACCTCACACAAACACACTACTGTGTGCTCTCTCTCTTTCTCTCTTGCACACACGCACACACCTAATGTGACAGACAGTCATTTAACATGGTGACAGGCTGACTGATGGCTTGGGTGACACTGTGCTAAATAACAGCAGAGTCAGCCACCTGCTCCACAACACCAGGCAGGTCATATGGACTGAGAGCGCCATCTAGTGCACAAATGGACAACTACACTCTGAGATCTGATCTGTTGTGAGTCACAAAGATGGAGAAGTAATTCTGGGAAGGACAGAAATAAATAACTGTTGATTGAAAGCAGAGGTCAAAGTTCATATTAAAAACTATCTTTAGGGTTTTATAGGCCATGTTCCTCTTGCAGGCCACAAGTGATGCTTTGCATATAGTCCTCATTGGTGATAATGATATTTCATACATCACTCCACTGTGACCCAGTGGACTACACTTCAAATAAGTTTAGTTCAGTCAGGAACACCTTCATCAAAATTACTTTAATAATAGTAATAAGATATATTTTTTGCAGTATCGCTCTGTTCCAAGACCTCACTGCAATTCCACATTCATACTATACGTCGAAAGGCTATAAGGTGGGGAGAGCACATCTACCTACCCTTCCATTAGCCTTCATGGACACTGAGGCAGGGACGACAGCAGCAGCTAAAAGACACCAGCACAGGACAGAGCAGAATCAATGACAACACATGACATCAGGTTAGATTGAGGTGCTGGAGTGGAGGTGGGCTGTGAAGTGGCTTTGTGGGAGCAGAAAGAGCAGGCAGCTAAAGGAGCTCAGATAGAGCGAGCAATATGACCTTTACAAATTGTAACTGAATTCACACTCTGCTCAATGGGTTTTTTGAAAGAGAATAAAAACCATCATGGAGATTGTGGTGATCCATTTCTCTGTGAAATGTATGTCCAACTACTCCAGAGTGAAGAGCTAGTGATAAACCTGCAGCTGATGCTTCTCGTGCACGAGTCTGAAGCTCCAGTTATAGTTGGACCATTTCTGAGACTAGAGCCAGAGCTGTGTTTATTATAGATCTATACAGAAGCCATATCTGAGAACAGTGACAATGTAGAGATTCACTTGACTGCATCATTTATAGGTCCCATATTTTACACCTTACAAGTATCCATAGGAAGATATATTTGTGGTTTCAAGTCACATAAATCATCTCAGTTGAACTATATCACACTCACCCTTGTCACTTGTCGCTCTGGCAACAACAGGGCGCTTTGTGTCCGTCTCTGAGCCGGTTTGCTACAAGCTGTAGCCTGTATCATGGTGAAACTCACAGGGAAATTCAAATTTGGATTTACAACCAGTGCTGAAATGAACTGAACAGACTGTCAAATTCAAACCAAGATGCATGCTCTGGTAAAACAAAACTTGGAACATCTGCTTAGTGGTGTAGTGGTGCTTGGTGTTGCGTTGTTAAAGTTGAAACAACACATAAAGAGCGTTGGACAATGGGTCCTGGGATAACAGATTTGTTTACATCACAAAGCTACAGAAGTCCTGACAACCTATTTCAGGCACAGTTTTTAAAGATGGGATGTGTGCATTTCCCTGTCAATTAAGCTTCTTGATTTTCTTTAGCATGGGGCCTTTAACATTTTTACTATATACTTAAATTAATTATTTTCTAATTTAGTCTAGATTCTAAAGATCTGGCTGTATACAGTTTACTGAGTGGAATGCAGCCATCATGAAAATTATTCTGTACTGACTGCTGCTGTATCCCACTGTTTCAGATTTTTGTGCATGTTTAGCTATATTTAAAAGGCCAAAATCCACAGCAGTTTGTTCCTCCCACAAAAACCACTGCACCTCTACACCAAGTTTAAATGTCACCAAGTCAGATCCCAATTTACATTTTTACAATAGAAAATCTTTACTGTCAAGAGATTACACAACTGTAAAAAAAAAAAAAACATGCTTACCACTGTTAAATGTCCTTTTGTTTGCGACTACAGGCATAATTACAGCTGATCAGGGAGCCTCTGGTCAGGGGGCATGACATTTCCAACACACGCTTTAAGCGGATGACTAATCACTAAAGAGTGGCCCTACTGAGGAGTTTCACGGGAGGCGGGCCAAGAGCTAAAACGGAGGGCTACAGACAGACAGTGAAAATAGGCAACATGCCAGTGAATTGTCAGGCAAATGTGTTGCCTGACCAAAGAGTGGGTCTTAAATGTTGTGGGACCAAAAATAGGTGGACATTCACAAAATGTATACAGTATGTAGGCAAAGAGAGCAATGTTAATATTTTCAGTACTTTCATTATGATGGATTTAGAATTTCTGCAGACCTACACTACACATAAAAAATAATGTTCACTTACACATTGGTACTGATTAAGGATTAATTGTGCAGCATAATCTTGTGGAATTTTTGCACTAAACTACAAACACTTTTGAATTCAATCTATTAATGTTTTCTAAGAAAACCATGAGGGAAAAAAGCAAAGTAACACATAGTGCAGTTTATGTGCATTAGCATTTTAATTGGACAAAGCAAGAAAACATTGATTACAGTAGCAGAGTCATCAGTTCTCAGGGCTAACACCTTTCTAAACAAAAGGGTCTGAAAATGTCTGTAGGCACTGCCTAATTAAAAAGAGGGTCTTGTCAGCTAAAAGAAACCAGCTCTATAAGGCAACAGTTACAATGGCCTCCCCATTTCTCTGGCAAAAAGAGCAAGTGTAAAGGTTGAATCCACTCAGATTTTTGATATAAAATACTGGCGTTTCAATAGATATTTAAAAAACATCAGAAATGTCAAACATGTTCACCTTTTAACATTTGAATTTAAGTGTGCACTGAATGGCAATGCCGTGTTATCCCTGCATGGAAGAATCGTGTGTTGCACTGTGCCAGTGTCACATTTCATAGTGCCACTCTGCTACGTACAATGTTGGAGTTAACTGTTGAGTTATCAAAACAAAAGAGAAAAGCAAGCACCCACAGTTAACAGTAGCATTTTACTTACACTGTTTCAAATGAATGAAGGGGTGAATGGTTATTTACAAGTGGCAAAATGATTTGAGGCTGTCTGAAAGATATGGAGGAGAAATGGAATGCAAAAAGAAAACTCTTGGTAGTCAAATTTGTCCATGTACAAGAGAGGAAAAAACTGTGCAATATATATCTGCCCTTACAGAGAAACAGCAGTGGCAACAATCCCTGCACTTGATTTTAATCCAAGAGAAAACAAGAACAAATTAAACTGATTTCCATTCCTCAAATGATAACTAAGGTTCATAACTTAGCACAACTCAGACTTAAACAGTTTCTTTAAAAAAAGGACAAACCTCTCTGTGGCTGTCTGAGAGGAAATGTGTGAAAATGGAAGCCATTTGTAAAACCCAGAAAGAAAAATCCCAAAATTTCTCCTTTACAGTTTTATACTCATTTACAGTTAACTTAAAAATGGTAAGAGCCCTGGTTCTTGGCCAGTCTCGCCTTCCACAAAGGGTGTAAAGACCTGTGTGGCTCAAATAGCTCCTCCCTGGCTCCCGTTACTTCAACCCCCCAATGAAATCCCATTTACATCTCCTTCAGACGTCAACCTTCACATTAGGTTTCACATCCAAGTAAAAGTCCTAGTCCTGCCACAAATGGAGGCGGTGTTACACAGCCCCGTGGGGCACCGTACAGCCAATAAGAGGCTGTTGGTTGACAAATCTCCCACCCTGCCCACTTATCAGTGTGTGGGGTATCCTGCGGCTCCCATACCGGGCTGGTTGGCTAGCATACTGCCATTCAATCCCTGTGTAGGCTCCATTACCCCACCGTTACTGATGGCGCCCATGCCAGTCCACCCAGCACTGGCCGGTAAGTGACTGCGAAAAAATGAGGTAAAGAGAGAGAGAGACAGAAAGACAAAATGCCAGCAGGTTAGAAGAGACAAGGCGAAAGGAAGCCAAAGGGACGGTTTATTTTAGAGCTACTAGAATCTGGACAGGCTAGAATGAGGACAAGGCGGCAAACAAGAGTTATCAGAGGTTGTGAGGGTGAGGCAGGCTGGGCAAAAAAAAAAAAAAATCAGGAAAAAAAAACTAAATCAGAAAGTGGAGGGCTCTTTGGAAGGACCAAAGGTAAGTGTCGTTTGATTAAACATGGGTGGACAAAGCAGACAAAGAGGATACAGGCTAAGAGCAGCAAGCTAAATATTCCTTCCTAACCCCCACCCAACTGCCGAGGTCGCACTGTTTTACAACCATGTAGATAATCTCGATTTCTCTTTCAACACTTGGACATTCGACCGCAAACTTAAATTCTCACCTGATTCACGTGACGTATATTAAGTCTTACATCATTCATGCAAATCGTCTAAAGTTCAGTGTGGAGAATGACAGCTCATAAAGGATAAGTTCTTAGCTTCAAGTCAAGAGAGGCCTGCCCCCTGTCTCAGGAATTGTGTATTTACTCCTACTGCATGGAAAATCACACACTATTGTTAATCTACCTCTGTACAGAGCCTTTTCATACACCTGCTTGCCAAGAATGTTAGACTGTCAACACCATAATGGCCTCTCTTTTATTTTTCTTTGGTGTACAAAGCATCACTGCACATCGGCTGTCTAAACAAAAACAAAATTTGATAATCTACAAATTATATTTAACATGTCCCACTGATAATCATGTACAGATCAAATTCACAGGCAAATGTAAAAATAAATCAAAGAATCAAAAAAAAGCTGTAAAAAGCTGACATGAATTTAGACATACAAAACAAATGAACAGCCTTAAAGAACACAGTTCTTACACACAGTGGGCAATCTTACAAAAAAGGGGATTTGCATTCTTCATCAATGATCAAAGTGAAACTCTGTTCTGAGCTTTAAGCATTTTTCTTATTTCTCTTAATTTTAAATGTCTTGAAATGAATAAAAAGGCTTTTACCTAGTTTAAGACAGTCTTACATTTGTGTTTGGGCTATCTGACAGTTTTTTAAGTATGTGTGAAGATTTAAGACAAATATTTCGGAACAAAACCCTTCAGTTAAGATATGTTTGTCACATTGAACTGTACTGACACACTTAAACACGGATAACAACAAAACTGAAGTCGAGATAGTTCTGTGTGAATATGTGTGTGTGTTCATTTCTTAATCTTCTCAAGATAAGCGAGATGAGGGTCTGGTGAGGGCAGATGGGCGGGAGGTGGGGTTGGGAGAGGGAGGTCATGGCTCCCTCCTGTGGCCAGAGCTGGCTCTCGCTGCTCCAATGTAGAAGGGGAACTCTGGTGCTGCAGGAGGAGGCGGTGAAGGGGAGCCCTGTGCACACCGTGCTACTTACTTGAAGCCCTGCTGGTTCCAAGCCTGGCTGTAGACGCCGTAGGTGGGGACCTGCCACCCGTTGGGGACGTACTGGCTTATCTGGGGCCCGTTGCCATACCACTGGCCCCACTGGCCGTAGGGCTGGGCTGCAGCGAAGCCCATCTTGTTTTGCTGTAGGACAGAGTACAAGTATGGTTAACCTCTGCTTCAGGGAGGCAGACACCACAATAAACAAGCATCAGGTTGGCGTGTGATGAAAAGATTGACTTTTAAAAACGCCACAACCTAATACACTAATTTTGTTTTCAAAATAATTTCACCCCGACTGATCACAATGAAATATACTTTGATAATCAGTAACTTCTTTATAATATCTTTTCATTATTATGTTCAATAACAGTTTGAAACCACCTGATGTTGAAGTTGTACACACTCATAACACAGCAGGAACTAAAAGCTAGGATTGCTAATCCTGGAAAAGTTAGCAAGAACAGGCTAAACTTTAAGAAAATGCAACTGATTCATCCAAACCCTCCCACCATCCATGACGCCCTCAAAACACATGAATGTGCACAGACTGACATCTGCTAGACCAGTTTTTCAGGAAGAGGAGGGCTCTTTGGTGTCCTTACCTGGGGCACGGGCATCTGCTGCATCGGGTTCAGCATGTCCGGGGTCTCTTTACCCCAGTAGCATTTAACTATGTGGCCCTCTATTGAAGTGCCATTCACTGACACAATGGCATGGGCTGCTGACTCATGGGAGTTAAACCTGGACATAAAAAGAGGTAGAGTTTATAAAGAAGCATTGCATCTCATTAACTCAGCGATGGTGAACACACCACTGCTGGAGAACTGTCAGCAAACTGTGAGAAAGGCTGTCCTATAACATCTGCACTGCAAGGATCTAACTGATCACATGTGTGAGATAAAACCATGTGTCAACAATTAATCAGTAATAAAAAGAGAAAACTGACAACACATGCTGCTCACATCACTAAAAATATGTTTGATTGTTGGTTGAAAGTTCAGATCCCCTGCGTTTACAGCAATTTATCTAGAAAAGTCATCAGATCAAGAACCAGTGTATCATTCACTGACCTTGATGAAAAAGTGGGGGAAAGAAAAAAGCGAAGTTAATCTGAAGCCCTGACATACCTCACAAATGAATAACCTTTATCTGGGAAAACTCTGATTTCCATGATTTGTCCAAAGGCGGAGAAAGTCTGTCTCATCAGTTGTTCTGAAAGACAAGCAGAAGGGGAGCATAGGATATCAAACTATAGGGGTTCATGTGTCATGAAAAAACAAGCTGCATGAGAAACAGGGCATCTTGGATCTGCTGATAACACCCCCAAGCTTTTGAATAATCGCTCAGAGTAGAACACATGTTGCTTTAATTATGCAGGAACTAATATGTGGGTTCTCATACCATTTTTAAAATGAAATGTAATGCTTTTTAAGACCACAAGAAATGTTATTTAAGACCCAAAGAATTTTGAAACATCTTCGATAGAAGAGAATTTATTCAAACGTATTAATAAAGTGAATAAGATATCAGAATACTAACATTGAGCGAAGTAACTGCTGGAGCTATTATACTGTTTTCTTTAATGTTTAATAGTTAAACATTCATTTTATATAACTAGTTATATTATGCCTTCAGAATTATAACAATGTTAATGTTTATTTTAGTTAGTTTTGGTAGTTAATGCAGGTACAGAGCACCAGGTGATAGATATATATTTGGTTAAGCAGGCACCGGGAAGGTTTCATGTTTTTTTACCGATGTTTGCAAAGATTTATGAATAAACCACACAAAACTTGACACATACCTGGACAATGGATTTGTTCCATGCCTAAGATTTATTTCTCAGGTGCCGCTTTGGCTTTATGATTTAAAGGTTTTTATTCTTTTGCTTTTTCTAATCAGGTTTTAGGGACAATTTGCCATTATAGTAACATTGTAACACTTCCTGACAGAGTCCTCAAAATATAAGGACATTAGAAGAAATGTATTGAACAAACACACATTATATATACACATACACACATGTGTATGTTCTTTTTGTTTTTAATTATAAATATCATTGTTATACAATTGTCACAGAAATCCCTGTAGATGACATAGGCAATTATTCCAATGTAAGAATACATCGTCCATTGCAATATAAGGGGTCTTTTATATTGTATATATCTTATTATGTGATATATCTTTTTTTAGTAGTTTATTTCACATAGTTAAAAAGAGTCCTATAAACAGAAGAATAAACTGTAGCTATACATAAATTATACTTGACAAGTTTGCTGTTAGTTTTGGCCTTATTGAATTATGATGGTATCGTGTAGATACATGCTGCACAACATCAGGAGAATACGTCCCCTTCTCACTCAGAAGGTGGCACAGGTTCGGGCGCTTTTCATCTCACACCTAAACTACTGCAAATCCCTCCTGGCTGATCTGCCTGCTAGTGCCATCTAACCACTGCAGCAGCTTGACTCGTCTTCAACCAACCTTAGTTCACTCACACTACACCACTTCTTTGCTCCCTTCACTGGTTACCAGTGGCTGCCCGAATCTGCTTCAAGACACTAGAACTTGAACGCATTGGGCCCAGCCTACATCCAGGACATGGTTAGACCTTGCCTGTCCACTCCCGACAGCTAATCAGCTTGCTGCTCCCTCACTGCGAGGGACACATGGCCACTCAACAAAATCCTGACTGTTTGCTGCTCTGGCTCCTTAATGGTGGAACAAGCTCCACATTGACACCAGGACAGCAGAAAGTCTACACATCTTCTAGAGACACATCTATTCCGTCTAAACCTTGGTTAAGAAGATGATGGTCTGATTAAAAGTTAAGTACTTAGTGGAAGTTGCTTTGGATAAAAAATGCATTATGAAAAATGTAGTTTGTTTTCTTTAGTGGTAGCCTGCAAAGGGTTTTTAAAGTAGTGTTTCAGACGATGGCTGGCGATCAAAGCGAGGGGAGCCATATTTAAGCAGATTACAGTCATAGTATAATTGATGAAATTACAAGGAAGAAGATTCCTGCTGACCTGCTGACCAAGGCTCAGTTGGCAAGAGACATGTTTGAGGCAGATCCCTGGGTTTTTTAAATGTTCAAGCAGTTTACAGGAAGGCAATGATTCCTAATGAAATCCAAATGTTTAAGCTTTCAAATGTTTTAATTTCATGTATCTACCTGCCTCAGAGAAATTGTTTTTGTAAGTGCTGGCAATTCTGTCAGCTCTTCAGAAGAGCCTCGGGTTTTAGGGATTCGTTATTAAACAATGCTTTGATTTTGTAACTTTTTTACAAAAGTTTTTACTGTTCGCCTTAAGTATTAATGAAGTTCTTTCATCAGTTAACCGGTCGGTGTCATGTTTATCTCATCATTACATATGGTAGCAGCAACAATACTGGTAATTCTCCTCACCCGTCAGTCCTGAGCTGACTCCACCACAGTACACGGTGCAGTTACTGGGACTTGACTGACTCACTACTTCATCAAATGATAGGTGCTTGGAATTACCTGGGAGAAAATACAAAAGACAAATCCGCAATTAAAATGTGATTCAACATCCTTAGCAAGAAAAAAATGCACATTTATAACAACGCACTTTCATAAGTGGTCTTTGGGGCAGGGGGCTTTCTTGTGGCCCAGTTAGTTCGAATCTGTCTTCCTCCTAACCACTGTCCCCCCATCTGCTGAATGGCGTTCTCTGCATCCTGGAACAAAGAAAACATTTGGTTGGTGCATCAAGCTGGAATGTAGTTATGTAAAATATAAAAGCACAGAACCCAAATAAATAAGCACCACCCCCTCCCGTTAACAGCAGTACTGACACAATGATGGCTACTCACCCATTTGTTGAAGAAAGACACAAAGCCATAGCCCCTAGATTTCCCTGTAGCCATATCTTTCACAACACGAGCGTCTCTGTGGACAAACACGACAACACTGTTACATCACATGCAGCACAACATGAAAGCTTTATTGAAAGAAGAAAGTGTCTTTAATTAACTCTGCAAGTAAATAATGAACTAACTTCAAATTGTTATCTACACATTATTCACCTCTATTCCTTTTGGATGATAACATTTTTGTATATTGAAAACGATAACACTCCCCTTCAGTTTCCCAAACACTGAGTCACATGTTCAAGTTGTCTGTTTTGTTCAGACAATACCGCAAAGCATTTAAGGCAGTAACATAGAAGACGAGTAAACCTCCAAATTGGGGGAATTTGGAACCTGCATGATTGTTGAGACTTGTTTAAACAATTAAATAAAAAAAATTGAACGTCAAAATCAATTGCAGTTATCTGAACTACTTAATTGATTCATTGTTTCATCCTTAACCGAAATGAAGAATATCCGGAGCAGAGCCTTCTTTAAATGTACTGCATGTGCCCATGGTCCCTTGTATTTTTTATTGTTATGATTCATTGGTATGAGGCAGGAATGTCAATAACATTAGAGCAAAGCCTCAGTTTCTATTGTTTATCCCCGATTTATTTGTCTCAAGCCTTTTTCAGACATGACCTGTGGGTAAAATCTGGAGAATTGGCTGCGGAGTCTACGCATAGTTTGCCTTTCACACATGCACATCGTAGCGTCTCACTCAGACATTTGCGTTCACACATGCACCTCCTCCGAAGAAAATACGGAGGAACTGCAGAGTTCAGTGCATGTCTGAAATCAGCTTAAAGGGATAGATCACCGAACAATGAAAATGCACTCATGTACCCACCACTATGCCGATGGAGGGGTGGGTGAAGTGTCCACAAAACACTTTGAGTCTGGAGCTGGAGGGTAAACTTTGATGCAGCCGAATCCGATTCAATGGCGACTCAGACGTAATAAAACAGAGAAAAATAACATGCCTCCAAACTGCTTGTGTGCTGTGGTGTCATCTAAGTGTCCGCAAGCCCTCACATTCATATTCGACGCAAAATGAAGTCATTCACAGCGTGTTTTCAGCCTGAATGTCAGCTGATATCTTGCTACGAGGTGCATTCAAGGACCCTTGGACACACCATTGTGTGGCTACGACCGCTGGTTAAGCCAGTTCCAGCTGACATTTAGGCTTAAAACGCAGCGTAAAGGCTTGTAGTTGAATATGAATGTTGGTGCTTGTGGACACTTGGATGACACCACATGAGCAGTATGGAAGTATGTTATGTTTTTACTGTTTTATTACACCTGAAGTGTATGTTGACTTTGACTTCAACTGCTACTACATTTACTTTTTAGACTCCAGAAGTGTTTCGTGGACTCAAACCCATCACTCACCCCTCTATCGGCATAGAGGTGCGTAGATGAGTCAATGTTAGTTCACCAATTATATTGGTGAACTATCACTTTAAGAAAGGCTGCTACCAAACAATTATTTTCATTACATATTAATCTGGGTATTAATCACAATTTCATTAAAAAAAAATCATCTAAATCGAAGTCTTAATATTGTGCTTTTACCAAACAACTACCAAAAACCTTAAGATATTCAAATTATAAAGACTTAGAACTGAAAGAAACCTCTAATCATCTGCGATGCTGGAACCATGAGAACGTTTGGCATTTTTGCTTAAAAAGTTTCTGTGAATCAACAAATAGTTGCAGCCCAGAAACTTTGTCAGTAAACTTTTGCACTATACTTACGATATCCTGCCAAATGGACCGAAGGCAGCTTTGACGTCTTCTGTAGTTATTTCTGGGCTGAGGTCTCCCACAAAGACATGAAAGTGATCTACAGGAAAAACAGCACAGATGTAGCATAATTTACAAGACATACTTTTTCAGTGGCTGTGATGTTCTACTTGGATCTGTTCATTTTTATTAAGTTTGTTAATTGGGAGGAGAGAAAAAAAGCAGCAGCATCCTGGCAAACCACCTACATAAGAATATATGTAGGCACATGTGCAGTGTAAACATTTGCCTGTGATTAATATTGATGAATCAGACATTTCCAGAGTACATTCAGTTGGTAGTTTATTCATAGGTTCATCTTGCTTAAACTAATTCAGACAGTCCTTCAGTAAATTCACCATTAGATTATAATGTTCAGTTTGTGTTAACGCGGGTTTAAGAAAATGCAAGAATAATATATTAGACTGTATTAGTTTCAACTAGGAATATATTACAAATTGCCAATCACGTGTTTATCTCCAGTGACAAGCAGTTGTACTTACTACTTGTGTCTTTTTTCTGGCTGGTTGGCGTCGTGGCCCAGTTTACTTTGACCTCCTGTGGAGAGGGGCAGAGAAAAAACAGGCCAGGTGGGGTATGTTTACGTCACTTACATTAAAACACGGTCATCTCCAATATAATGGCTTAAGATGTACTACTTATTTTGTGTGATACTGTCCTTTTACCCCTCACTTCTATCCTGTGTATGTCAAGCAGCACTGAACAAGTTTATCTCGTATCAAATCTTGAGACCTCGATTATCTTAATATAAAACAAGTCTGCAACTAGTCTAACTATTTCATGCAGATTTCACTGAAAATAACAATACTCATTTGCGATGCACCTCACATAAGAGTAGTTACTCAGTTCAGCATCATATTCATTAGGTTTTTCCAGTTTAGGTCCTAGCACTGAGTACAGAAGCTCCAATCATTATTACACCATGCAGTATACCTTTGTAAGGCTCTGTGGTCTCTTAAATGTTAATGGTTTTTACTGGCGTTCTAGATAAACTGGTCTTTGTTTTTTCACATGGCCTTGAACATAGTCTTGAAAGTGCAGCACTGGCTTGATCAAAAAGAGCCCTAAAATACATTTTTGCCAACATTTACTTCTACTCAAGCCTTAATCTCAAGTCACACTCTGGCCACATTCCTACAGACCTAACATCACAATTTCATGTATACCAAGACTATTTGTTTAAAATAATGGAGCCAAATTTATAAGCTGATGTCATTTGGTTCCAGATCCGATTTGAGCCCTGGTTGCAGCAGCTTGCCCTTATCTCTGTAATGGAATATGAATGCTTGTTTTGACCAATCACTTTCTCCTTTACACAAAAGACACACAACCTAAATAACCACACCCGGAGCCCACCCATCCCCACTCACCCTGTAGATACGATAGCTTACCTTACCCATTATTTTCCTTCCATTCATGGCTGCCAATGAGGCAGCAGCATGCCTGTGGTCATAGAACTCCACAAAGCAGTATGGATCATTTCCCGCTGTCTGTCAATTGGAAAACAACACTGATATTAAGTGCACAGCAAAGTTTGTGATTTTATCATTCATGACAACCGTCACCTACTTATTTTGACGAGTGAGGCCTGATACAACAGGCTGAGAGAGGGAGATCAATATCAAGCACATATGCAGATTGAGGCACCACCATCTTTCAGGGCCACAGTTCAAAACGACCTCCTATTAACAAACAATTCGTGTATAAACCAGTCGAGGGGCTAACACTCACATCGACGATCATTTTACAGCTTTTGCAGGGTCCTATCTGTGTGAAGACCTGCAGGATGAGGGGCTCAGTGACATCCCTGGACAGATTCCCCACATACCTGCAAACAAGGAGAGAGATGAGGGAAACAGGAAGTAGCATGCAAACAAAGGCTAGTTAACCGAGCTAGCTTCAACCAATAACAATTCATTATTTCGACACTAATATCAAAAATAGTAGACGAGATGCTCCTGGGAATCGTATGAATATTACACAGACATCTCGAGTATGCCCCCCCCCCTGAACTGGTGCTCTCCCGTGCCGTCTCTCCTTGCGTTGACGTGGCTTGTCTGCCGGCTAGCTAAAGATAACGCTAGCCGGTTCAAGCGGGCCTCATGCTAAAAGGGTTGGCAGCTAACTGTAATTTAGATTTATTTTGCAACCTGTTTTCACGGTGTTCTGGCTAATGCTTGTGCATTGGTAGATAAAACACGACTTCTATTGAGAAGAAAAGCAACAATTCCACGGAAACTTGCGCATTTCAGAGGAGGCGGCTAGCTAACTGCGTTGGCATCTGTAGCTAACGATAGCTAGCATTAACTAGCCCCTCGGTTTCATTTTCAGACCAGCTACGGTTCCGTCTATTTATACGGCTAAATCAAACAACTGTGCTTGTATGTCGTAAATTACACTCGCGTTGATACGTTTACAAACAGCGGGGTGTGAAGGAACGACGCGATGATGCTAATATAATGCCCACGCGAGTCGCAAAGTCAAGGTTTTACCATTTTAAATGAAACAACAACGTGGAAACATTACCGACGCGCCGTAGTTAACACGGAGCCTAGCCATTCCAGGACATAGACAGGGCCGCCGTTACTCACAAGGTTCTGGGTTGATCGTCGTCCATCATCGAGGTTCGGTGGTCGAGTCCGGAGAGTCTTTAGTCCAATGACATACAAAGTGTTGGTGCTCGATCGACCGCGAACGTGAAGGCTGATGAACTATTAAATGGCAGATCGGCGGCGGCGGCGGCTCCTCTCTCTCTCTCTCTCTCTCACACACACACACTCATACACACACACACCGCAGACAGTCTGATGCAAACAATAGGAAGTTGAAGATGGCGGAGGAGCGGCGTCAGCAGCGTCAACCTGCGCGCTGAAATGAATCCGAAGCCAGGCGCTCCTTCTCCCACACACAGAGATGTGCTCGCATCTGTGCAGATTTACTGACCGCCATGTTCAACTACTTATATCATATTAGTCATATTTCCACCAGCCGATTTCTCCTCACAGCTTTATTGACCCGAGTACAAAAAACGTAAGGGGGGAAACAGCTGAACACCGCTGTGAGAGGCTCTGTTAGTCAGAGTAGAGGACAACATACGTGTTACACATATGATCATTTACATCCTATATGATTATATACTGAGAGGACATGAAGCAAAATACGTGCGCCGCCCGGGAATCGAACCCGGGTCGCAAGAATGGGAATCTTGCATGATACCACTACACCAGCGGCGCTGTTACAATGTATTGGAATATGTCGCTCTATCAATCTCACCTAATCTCTTGATCTATCTATTGTACGAGCGATTAGCCGGTCAAATTTACCTTTAGCCTCAGTATTCGACCTGTATCATTGACTGTAATCAAGTGTATTATAAACACTTGATGAGACTAAGGTACAAGTGAAGTTGTGTCCCTAACACCCGCTGGGAGTTGGTAACGTAAATAACTGCAGACGTTCGTCGTTGACTGATTTCAAGTGCGTGATTACAGAATGTATGGCAAATGCATGTAGTCTATGGAGGACTAGACATGACTTAAGTATAAATAAATAAATGTAGATATAAATGTCTTAATTTTATTTCCACACTTATTTGTTTCCACATTTATTTATTTCTGTATTTCTGTGTCATATGCAAATGAGTAAGAGCATTGATGATTTTACAGCAGAGTAAATATTGCACATAATGCCTTTTTCAATTCTAAATAATGAACTTTGAGGCTGAATTTCTCCAAAATGATACAGTAAATATGCTTGATACTGAGTGAGTGAACAGTCAGGATGGTCCTGAGGACAATTTCTGACAGCTTTTGCCAGAAATTATGGAATAAAGGGATTTTACAGTAGCATAAAAGATTGGCTCGCTCCGTATCATGGACCACCTGCATTTGAAACACTTGAAATCAGGAAAAGACGAACGTCTGCTCATTTGACCGCAGTCTTAAACTGGGAAGATGACCTGCAAACATATCTATCTATCTATCTATCTATCTATCTATCTATCTATCTATCTATCTGTCTGTCTGTCTGTCTGTCTGTTCATGTATTCAGTCATAATTAGTTACAAGTTAACTTGTTTGTCTAGTTTTATTTAACTGTCTATCAATTTAATCTGATCGATGTCTAAAAGTTTATGATTTACGCGTAAAATGCACGGATACATTTAGTCTGAGGCTCGACATCAACGCTTGTTACAGCGACTCATCTGCACCACAGACTGTGGGATCTGAACCTATACACAGACTATGATCTGAACACGTATCCACCAGGTCGTACTCTGTTGACTCGTCTGATCTCAAACGCAGGGGGGCAGTGTTGCTCAGTCTACTCTGTCAAAGGGACGACAAAGAAGAAAAGCGGCGCAGCCTCGCATCCGGCGCGAAGAAGAAGAAGCAGCACTCGGAGGGAGTATGGCTGCCGCCGCAGGGTGTGAGCACTATGTCCGCAGCTGCTTATTGAAAGTGAGTCCACTGAAACCTGATGTGTATATGATCCTTACATGCACAGCGGAGACATGAAGGTGTTGGCTGTGTCCCAGTGTTACTGTGCTGCGATGAGAGGCGCTGCTGGATATCTGTTGGTAGCAGCCTAACGTTAGTAAACTCTGGCTGTCAGGTCACATTACTCAGGTTCTTACATGAGCAGAACATGTCAGCTGCATACACAGAAACGAGCAGGCTCATAGAGTTCCGTCAGCATCGGATTATCGTTGTAGTTACATTATAACTCGCAGAATGTCAGCCATATGTATCTACACCACTGTAACATCTGGGAAAGTGAAAATGAATGTGTGTAAAAGAAGTCACTGAAACTTTCACTAGATTTTCTCTTCTAATGTTGTAGCAGCCAGAGATAATTCAGATTTGCAGCCACACTAAGATATGATCTGTCCCTCGGATATTATGAATGTGATTGACTCACTCGGCATTCACCCGCCACATGCCCTGTGTAATATCGTGTCTGTGCACTGCAGGCCCCCTGTTGTGGTAAACTGTACGTGTGTCGGCTGTGCCATGATGCAGAGGAACACCACCAGATGGATCGATTCAAAGTCCGAGAGGTGCAGTGCTCCGAGTGTCTGACTGTGCAGCAGGTAACAGAGAAAACCCAGTGCAACCAACTCTGCACTTTCCCTTTCGGTGTTGAAGTTGTAGTTGTGCATGGAGTGTTTGTTGACATCAAGATGGAATGTGAATGGTAAAAGAAGCTAAAATGTTCCAGCTATCCCTCCTTTAGGCACAGCAGACTTGCCAGCAGTGTCATGTGCAGTTCGGGGAGTATTACTGTGATATTTGTCACCTGTTCGACAAGGATAAGGAGCAGTACCACTGTCAACCTTGCGGAATATGCAGGTGAGCAACAATAGTAGTGTAACAATGTAACTAAGGATATTTGGGAAATATCTCAAGGGGAAAAAGACATTTGGATTCGGAAAGTCATTTTCTTTGACACATCTAATTCAAATTCTACTCAAATTCAAAATCATAACGTTATGATATTTCTTTTTACTAGCCCGATCTAAGATTTCAGTGTTTTTAAATCAGCTGAATAGTAATTCCGTATTTTTTCACTTTTAAACCCACCACACAACTTTACATTTCAAGTTGTCAGTGCAAATTAAAAAAAAAGATCTTGGTCAGTAATGTTAGAGTATGCCTGTGTGATTATGCCTATGACTTCTTACGTTTTATTTTGTTTGTTTTCATGTACTGAAGTAAAATTTAACTTGGAGTGTCGTCCTCTAACAATCCATTCACATGTTATTCATGCATGAGGTGAGTCCTGTATCAGCGGCACTGTGTTTTGGCTCCTACAGGATTGGCCCCAGGGAGAAATATTTCCATTGTGACAAGTGCAATCTGTGTTTAGCTCAGGATCTACAGGGAAACCACAAGGTAATTATTAAACAGGCAACAAATACAATATATATTTTTCTGTATTGTCCTCAATACTTAAACTGTAACTATATTTTATGTTTCAGTGTGTTGAAAATGTGTCAAGGCAGAACTGCCCAGTGTGTATGGAGGTAACAAACATATAATACATTGTGGGATAGTATAGAGAGTGATGTGGGATTATCTTATTTTGTACTTTTTTTTTTTTTACAGGATATTCACACGTCCAGAATTGGCGCTCACGTTCTACCATGTGGTCATCTGTTACACAAGTATGACTCAATGCTTTGTCTCAATACAGACATATTACTCTACATAGCATTTTTTAAAAATGTTATTATACAATAATAGTATCTGTAAAATATGATAATAATATGATCTAAATGATTACAAAGAGGAAGAGAGGAGTCGGGAAAACTTTAACATGTTGAAGATGTAGACAAATAAATTCTGATCTGTGAAGGATATAAAGGTAACAATTTATGTGTTTGTTGATTCTCTGCAGGACCTGCTTTGATGACATGGTCAGAACAGGGTAGGTCTCACGAATCATTTTCCTGTTAAATATTTAGTTGAATAAGATATCGTTGTCCTGCATCAGTCCTGCATCAGTGTGTGTAAATTAGATGTCCAGGTTACAGCTGGGATGAAGATGTACAGCAATCAGTTTATTGCAGAGCATGTAAATGCATTCACATATTACCCATCTAACCTGGATTCTCTGAGTAAACTGGTTACTAAAGTCCATGTAAAGGTTTTGAGGGACACCTTCCTCTAAATGTCATTATTCTTTGTTTCAGAGCGTATCGCTGCCCTCTGTGTATGCACTCCGCCTGTGACATGGAGGACCACTGGGATCAGATCGACGTAGAGATCGCTCAGTCACCGATGCCCACTGAATACCAGGGGGCTACTGTCAAAGTAAGACCTCACTAAATATTGTTAGATTCCATTGTAATATTATAATTTAGTTAAAAGAATGGTTGAATTACTGATTAATCGTATTGTAATTTTTAGATATTTTACAATGGGTTGTGTTTCATTCCAATCCATGAATGTTATGAGTAATCAACCAACTGGAAATCTTTACATGTCATCCACTACCTTTTTTTGTCCTCTCCACAGATTATATGTAATGACTGCCAAGCTCACTGCACGGTGCCTTTCCATGTGCTGGGCATGAAGTGCAGCGGCTGTGGCTCCTACAACACGGCACAGGAGGGAGGACTCATCCAGCAGCTTCAACCACCACAACAACAACAGCCAGAGCCGGAGATTGAGGATGAGACAGAAACAGACACAGAGCCCGAGCAGCAAGATCAACCTGAGTAACTGACGCCACATTATCAGTTCAACCAAGATGACTTTTGACTGGTCCATTGTTGAAACCTATATTGATTGCAACAGGTAGCAGAGCCAATATTATGTGATTATTTATGTATTACCAAAAAAAATCTATTTATTTTCTGTATTGGATTCTCTTCTCCAGCTGTAGGAACCTATCCCAGCATGCACTGGGTGGGAAAAAATGTAGATCTAGGACAGGTTTCCAGTGTAAGACTTTCACATCATTTTACACTTAAGCTGCTTTCAGGCTTGAACTGAACTCCAGAGAATCTCCTGACATTCTCCAGAGGGATGTGAGAATGCAACTGTCTGGGTGAGAGCCTGCAGACTTTCTCCTGCCTCTTAGTAAAAACTCTGGATAATGACGGAGTAAGTCCATGTCAGAATACAGCAGGAGGATTCACGGTGAGAATAAAAAATGTCTGAGGATGAAAGTATGTGATCACCACAGCAGAATTAGTATGTTACATCTTGCCTCTGCCTGCTGCACCACCCCTCGCCTGATTTCTGTGTTGTGAACAAGTCTCAGCAGAGATCTCCTGCTACAGTCTTAAACTCAGGAGAAAGACTGCGGAGTTCATGTCTGAAAACACCTTTAGAGTCATAGTCCATCTGACCTGCATGTCTTTAGGCTGTGAGAGGAAATCCACAAAAATATGGTAAGAACTTGCAAATGTCACATAGAAAAGATCTCAGCTGGTCGACTGATTCAAACCCAGGACACTCTTTCTGGAGGCTGACAGTCAACTAAGTGACAGTGGCAGTAATGAACAGATAAAATAGTTCATGTGAGGAAGTGGTGATGATTTAATCACTGAACAGGATCCGAGCATTTGTAATTATTTAAGTTCAGAGATCGTCCCYGAAGTCTTACTTCAACAATACTTACTTGACAGTACAGCATCAATCAACATAATTGATACTATAGGAAGTCTTTACACTAACTTCACTGACATGTTTATAGCACAGCACACGGCAGTGGAGGATTTTTAAATGGAAGACCCACGCACAGGGATTTAAAAATGGACTTAACAAGTCACAGGGCATGTGTGTAGAGTAAAGACAGTTCAGATGTATGTGGACTTTCCTCAGTACAGTATTTACAGCCCTTTAGTTGTCATTTTGTTGTTTTCTGCTTGTGTGTCAAAGATATTAAAGAGAACCAATTTTTCTACTTTTGACTTAAGTATGGATCTCATTCACTGTGTCATCTTTGTCAGTATAAGTGTCAAACTGCAATTTTTATTCCCAGACAAAGTGAATGTAAGTTCCACCATCAATATTCAAAGCACAAGACCAGAAACATTAGTTAAGATAAGTCTGAAATTAGGTATGTGTGCTTGTAAGTTAATTCTAAATACTTAATGAAGACAGACCAGGGTTAGTGTACATGGTTTGAATATTTGAAACCATATGGGTTTGTTTATATAACTGACAACTGCTTTGCGCTATGATAGGCTGGAACATAGCAAAAATTATCATTTTCAATGACAAGTCAGAAAAATCTACTTATATATTCAAATGTACAAATGTGATGTATTTAGATGGTCCAAATATTTCCTGACTGGGTTTTATGAGGCCAGACAAACAGATGACAGTCATATACACAACATTAGAAGTACATTTTAAGTTTTGTCTATGTCTTCTGAAAAATTAACATCAACAACTGCAACACATGCACCTATTGAATATTTCAATCCCATGATATACACACATATATACATAACTTGAATTTTTGAAATGACTGTTGTGACAATAATTGAATTCTATTTCCAGGAATTTTTGGTGTCTTTATTACTCAAAGGTTTAATTTACCTTTGCAATACCAAAACATCTTTTATTTATTAGTATTGTGGTGTGTTATCTGCAGAATCAATAACTTAATTCAAAATAAGAACATGTAATCACATGGTGTAGTTATGGTGGCAATTCTACAAATCGACATAACACAATACATTTTCATCGTCTTTATATAGCAGATATTAAACTGTCCCCATTTTGACAATATTATATAAGGAAATGTAAAGTAAAAGCCAAGTATGGTCTGGATATTCAACTTGTTATTGCATAAGTAAATCACTACAGCGTACAGTAGTACACAACTACTGCAAAACTACCTCAAACATGGGCCAAACCAGTTAACCCAATCTGAACTACAACTAAAACTGATTAGTTTCCAGTATCAAATGCTGTCTCCTCTGGGTGGATCCCGCTCAGGGAACTGGAAAGTGAAACAAACAGGACCAGCGGTCAGGGCAGGACTCACAGGGACCACTAGGGAAGGGGTCGCGGATGATGGTTGAAGCGTCGGTGTGATGTTTGGAGGAAAGGGTGGAGTGGCACCCTGGGGGAATCCTTGGTATGTGGTGGTTGTGCTTATGACTTGTGGTTCAGTCGTGCCACCAATACCCATGAATATACCAGTCGCTGTTATCTCTGGCTGTGGTGAGACCTCTGTGTCATTCACAGTGTCTTGTGCAGGATCAGGAGGAATGTCGGTGCCGTGAGCAGCTTGTGAAGGATCACCTGGCACGAGCGGTGAAACATCAGTGAAGGTTTGTGGGTCCTCTGAGGGCAGCGCTGAAGTGTCAAGCGTGGCTGGAGAAGCTCCCGAGTCTGCAGAGGGAAAGAGGCCTGCGGTGCCTGCGGTGCCTGCGGTGCCTGCAGGGTCAGTCTCCTCTGCAGCAGTAGGAATGTCTGTCTCTGTAAATGCTGTTTGCAGGGGATCCTGTGAAGGCTCTACATGAGTGGCAGTTTCTTCTGATTCATTGGATTCATTAGACTCTGAGGACTTGGATGAACCTCCACCCTCAGTTAGATAAACCTGTTTCAGCAAAGGGAACGCGTTAAGTCATCTTACCATTCTTTACAGTGGTATAAATGTAGTGACAGAATAGTAGCACCATACTCACTGGTTTGGACATGACTGCAGACACCATGAAGACTGCACAAAGTAACACCCGAAGAACTGTCATTGCCATGTTTCCTGTATTTGCTGAAACAAATACACCATGAGCATTTTACTAATGGAATAATGAGACTTAGTGCATTTACTCAAGTATTGTATATATTTTTACATATCCAACTAAACCCCTCTACTTCCAGACAAGAACTGTCACTGAAACCCACCTGAACTCTTTTTCAATGCCAACATGCACCGGTCATCTGCTCTTATATTTCACTCCTCCTGTTGATGAACGTTACTCATCACACCTTACATTATCTGTACATTAGTATTTATTTTGTACTGTATTCTGGTGTGCTCCTACATCTTACACTGTCATATCTTATCAACCCTATGCCTTTTTTACTGCGTTCCTGATGTGTACTTATATGCTGCCTGGATACTGTTGGGTCAGAGCTTGCATTGTGTTACTTTTATGTTGAGTACTTCCGTCTACTTATGTTTACACCAGGGATCAGAGAGAAACAGCATTTAAGTGCTGCTATATACTGCTCCAGGACATTTCATAGGTAAATATTGTACCCCCCGACAGCTACCTGACAGCTGTAGGTCATAAATCTTTTTCATACAAGGCATAATATTATCTTCTAAAACATGATGCATTGTCCATTACTTTTTCTTACAAAAAGTGAAAGATATCTGCAAATCGACCAGGAATTCATCAATCCACATCCAATGCAAATCAACTTGGTTGTAATTTTATTGCGGCTGTTTGCTTTAGGAGGTAAATGGCTTGTCAGTGACGGGCAGTGTGTGAGTGATTTTAGATAAAGTGCTGCACATTGATGCACTGTGTGAATCAAAAATCTATATAGTGAAGCTCTTTAAGGTCATTAAGACTAGAAAAGTGTTGTATAAATACAGACTCATTCTTTCATGTTTAAAGATACAGACACTAACTTCTAGAAAAGTTTAACATAATTTACATTAAAACAGGTTAAATATTCTAACCATTCCTAAATACATGATATAAAGTTAAATACAGAAAATGACAGACCTACCTTGATAGGATGAGTATCCTCGTATCACTGCAAGACACAGCAGACCAGTTCTAAAATGTAACAACTTTACCAAAAGCAATAATAAAATCAATGCTCATTTCTGCTTAGCCTTGTATTTATATGACTGCTGATGTGTGTGGGTACAGTGACTCAGTAAATCATCTGGTTCAGCTCGTTAGCCGATTTTTAACAAACAATTAAAGTTAATCACTGAGCAGCCCCAGACACAATAAAATTAAACTGAGCCAAAAAAAATGCTTTGAGGATAATTGGAGAATAAGGATGCCAGACATGCCCATACATAAACAAAGTAATCATGTGTTTTGTGGTTTTGGAGTCAACAATGGGAATATTCTGGTTTAGACTTAAACTTTATCGCCATTGCTTGGTAATGTCTCATGTCGGATAAAGAAAGATGCCCGGTTTGAATAAAAATGTTTAATATAATTGTTGGCTTTCGCTAAAACAACATTCCTCCCTGAATTCATATCCTATAATTAGTGCCTATGCGATGGATGAAATGAGGACTCTATTGTTACCATGTTTAAGGCCTGAACATGATTGAAAACTTTGCACACATCCGGTCTGTTGGAGAAGTTGATATGTTATGGGTCTTGACATGGGCATGGTGAAATTACTTGATTAGGCCCTCCCAACAGTTTAAAACAATCAAAGCCCCCTTCTTTAACTTTCCCCTGGATATATGAAGTTTGGGAGACACTATTAGGCAGAGACTTTAATAAATCACTTGGAGCCATACCTTAAACCCAACAAAGCCATTATTTTGACCTTATTGGTCAGATTGGGTTTTTTGTCATTTCTACCCCTCAAATTTTGACAATATCCTCATTTTAAATGATTTTTTTTCAAATTACAATGTTAAAATTACTTAGTTTGTTTTTGCTTAGAGGAAGGTCAGTGGTGTTGATTGTCATACTGAATAGCTGGCTTGTACATGGTCAAATCTGTATAAAGCCTTACATCTGATAAGCAGTAGCAGATCTCGGATTTGTCTAAGTCAAAGACTATAAAGAAGCCACAATTTATATAGAGGGGCCAATTATAGGTCCAACATCCATCACAATTCCTGTTTCAGTAAGATGCACATTTAAGTCATTCCTTGTTTACCACTAGCTCTATAGCTTTGAGCAAAGCCACAAATATGTTGAAAATTGTTTCATGTACAAAATTCCTTGGTGGCCTAAATGACAAATGATGCTCAAATAAGTTCACAAGAAACTGGGGAAAATGCAAAATGCGTTTATTTAAAACGTCGCTTGCCATAATTGTCAGTATCAGTCCACAGACGATGCCACTTCCTGCAGAAAAAGAAAAAAAAGAAAAAAAAGTCAGACTTATCCCACAAATACAGTAAGACAAACTGGGAACCTGCTGGTAATTGGTTTTTGGGAGGTCCACCTCTGGCTGCTCTTTGCCTGCAGGTTTTGTACTGGGGCCGGTCTCAGCTTTGTTCTCCAAGTCTGTCATACACGTTTCCTTCACAGCTGCTGAGCTAGCTCTCCTGAAGGAAGACAAATCAGAAAGACATACCAATAAAATACAGTCCTGCTAACTACATATAGTTAACTCTAGCTACAATGGGACCATAAAAATATAGTTTAATTTTTCTAAAGTTTACATAAAACATTATCTGTCGATTTAAATAGTTTGTAGCCATGCTGGCGATATATCTCTATGCATGACGTCAGTCCACTCAGGTGCAGACTGAATATCGACATCTGTTGGATCAGTTGGCATTTCTATAATCATTCATGTCCCAAGGTGATTCCCTCTGTGCTGGGAAAGGATAACACGTTGTTACATTTAACATGACCACAGGGTGGATGCATCTACCAGGACGTATTATATAGATATTCATGGTGCCCTGAGGATGACTCTTCAATACTTTGCTGATCTCCAACCAATATCATTACAGTCAGGTAAACTGTTTCAAATTTGACCAATACAAAAGCTTACATGGTAAACACCTGCTAAATATCAGCATGTTAATATCGTCATGGTGAGCATGTCAGCAGGCTAATCTTAGCACTTTATTCTATGTCACCAACCTTAAAATATCAGCATTGTCCAACTTGTTATCAGCCATCATGGCAACTGGGAAAGTTTTTGTTTTTAAGTTCTGATAAAAGTAATAATTTATAAAATGGCCTGTAATCTTTGTCATATTGCCTTTAACCATCAATTAATTTTGCAGTTATTTTGCATGAACTTGATTCAATTTGTAATTGCACTACATGTATTTTTTTTTTTAATAGTTTTTGTGATTAAAGCACTTTATAAATGTGTTTTTTTGAAAAGTACCATGTAAATAAAGTTTATATCATTACAACAAATTCAATTTGGCAATTAATACATAGTGTCCAACTTATAACTCATCTGTCTTAATGACAAGTGTTCATATAAGTTAAATAAATGAATATATTTATATAATTTAAAAAATAATTTGCATCTTTACCTTTTATCCCATATGAAATAATATTGGCACAGTCCTTGATTATATTAGCATTTTGGTTAAAAAAAAAAATGTTTGCTTGAATTAAAGTTTGTGTTTGTGACAGGACAGCTTCTAATTACTTAAACAACCTTGTGTTGGCCCTCTTCCTCTTCACCACCACTGCCATCACAGCAATGACCACCACTCCCACACAGAGCCCTGTGGCGCCATAGATGATGGGACCCTGCATGGTCTTCAGGAGATGGTCCTGACAGGAATCACCGCTGTAGCCCAGTGAACACACACATGTGGTGTCTCCATTGTTTTTCACACAGTGTCCATTGCCACTGCAGCGTCTCTGGCTGCACTGCTGGGCATCCAGGTTCCTGAGCTGGCTGCTGACATTCATGGTGGTGTACAGGTCGATGGTTTCAGACAGAGAAGGGTGAGAGGAGGGTTGAGTAGTGGAGCTGCGAGGCTGGGTGGGAGCCAAAGTTTTGACTCCTGACCACTGCATTAGATTGACACCTAAAGAGACGACAGTACATCCTTTCAGCAAACAAGCCATGCTGTTTGTTTTGTTCCTAATGTAACGATCTACTTCACTGTATTAGGCTTAATTCTTCGCATTCCTATTGCTTGTTAAAAAGGAAACTACTCACAGTTCTCATCCGAGTGGTCGGGACAGTCCACATGCCCGTTACAGAACTTCCCAACAGGAAGGCACGAGAGTCGATCCAGACATGGCTTCCTGCCCGCTGGGCAGTGCTGCTCCAGGCTGCAGTGGGTGTCATTCACAGGAACGTGATCATGGCCACACTTGCATTTCCGGCCTTCTGAGGTGGCGAGGCATAAATGCTGGCAGTTGCCGTTGTTTTCTGTGCACTTGTTAGAACCTGTTGAGACAAGTGGACTGTCAGCTGGTGTTTGTGATGGTTGACTTTGGCGTCAGATTGCATTTGGAGCCATATGAATAAATCCATGCTATATGAACTCCTGCAAGATATTATCACTTCATGACACGTGGTTTTTACCAGACTGACTTGACTTGCTGAAGGCCTTCATGCTGACCACTTGTGTGCCAACTTCAAACCACAACTTGCTCTGCTGCTGCTCATCTCTGTACCAGAGCCTGGTCTTATCTGAGGGGGGAAGCCATGAAAAAAAACATAATGTAAAAAAGGTCAAATGATGCTTTATCTTTGAGTGTGTGTTACACAATACAAGAATTGTGCCCACCATTCAGAAAAATGATTCATGGTCAAGTTGTTGAATAGCACCACCTCCAATTTTGTGCCCCCAACATTAGATATCATTTCATTTAGTAGATACATCACCATTGACAGTCATCCAGAGCAGCGCATCATCACTCAGAGCCACAGCAGCCAGGCCATCACCAACCTTCCACTCTTTGTACTCAGACCCATCAAGCTGGACAGAGCCAATGATCCCTAAAGCTGGGACAGAATCCATGATACGTTACCGCTTTTGACTTTCAGTGCATGAAATCACATCTCAACCAGAGGGCATCTTGTGATGAGATGGCCATTGAGAAAGTTTAATCGGCCAGCCTTGAACTCTTTTTGGGACTGCATCTTGCATAGTTGTGAAGCTGTGGAAATCCTGCAATAGTGTCTCCAGGACCACAAACAGGATACATCCATGCTGCCTCAGCTAGTTACAACCTGTATAACTATTCCAAAAATGTGTGATAAGGCTTACCAGAGTCAGCCCAGTGAATTGTATTCCCATTACTGGAGAAGACCAAGGATGTGGGCTGGACAGCATCTTTCCACACCATCCTCTGCTCAGCACCAGCCATGTTTGCGCACTCTACAGTAGCCGCAGCACTTGGACCCTGCAGACCCAGGTTGGTGAAACAAACTCTCCCAGTTGGAGGATGGAGAGCGATGGATCCGATTCTTCCAATACCCTCCTTGATGAGAACAGCAGTGTGTGCTCCCATGATGGACGTGACTTGCAGGCGGGGCTGTTTATTGCTGCTCCAGTAGATGTTAAGTGTCACCCAGTCCAGGGCCATAGCAGTGATGGTGTCACCCAGGAGTTTGAGGAGCTGGCCCTGGGACACCAAGTCAGAGTCCTTCAGTTTGAAGGCGCTGAGTGAATTTGTGCCGTCATCGGTCAAGAAGAGGGTGTCGTCACGTGGGTTGTAGTCCATGATGACAGCTTCATTGACACTGGGCAGCTGCAGAGCCAGATGTTCTGGCCAGCCGTTCAGCTCTGCTGCTGTGTGTCGGGACTTCAGGTAGATCTGAAGACATAGGAAAATGATACTTCATGCAAAAGAAAAATGCATATCAATACAAAATGTGTCCATTTGGCAGATGTCACACATGACTTTTTGCATAATATAAACATTTATGCAGTGATTGGATGTAACAAAGTACATTTACTTGATTACTTAAACCGTCTGCTCAATCAAAAGGAAGTACCTGCTTTCAAATACACTTTGTGGTTCTTTGTTTTAATTTACTTTTGAGATTCTGGAGTCACAATAGTGAGGTTACAGATTGTAACCAACAGAATAGCCTCACTTTTCAGTGTCCTCCAGGTGACAAAAA